TGCTTTTTCTTCACCTTTCATGGTATTGAACAAATTAGCAAATATAATAAATTCCCATTTAATTATGGAATTTATAAATTGCCTAACCACCTCAGATCGTCAGAAGCTGCTGAAAAAGGCAGTTATCTGCTAAGCTAGGCACATTATCTGGTCTTACTTTTTGGGTATTACTATTCCTACATGTCCTATTTATGATGAATAACAAACACACTTACTAGGATGCCAGAGCATCAAAATAGTGTTTGAAATGCAGAAAATAGGTAAGTAGCTGTATTTTTGTTTTTGATTATGTTTTTTAGGTTGGATTTTGGTCCATAAAACCAATCAAATATGTTGTTCTGGCTTTGCAGTGCAAAGAACTCTATACTCTGGGCTTGTGTTTTTGCCTTTGAAATTATACATTTATCTGTCAAACTCTGCGAGACGGATCATGTCCATAAACTGCTCGGTTGAACCGATAATCCGTCCTGACATCAAACCAAACCCTCGTGTTTTCATAGTGACTCAACCACCACGGTAGTGTTAAACTGAAACATGCCCGTCTGTTTCTTTCTCTATGCCAACATGTCATAATGGGTTAAAATTTGGACGGGTCTAAGTGTTGGTGAGGCCGCGTACGTGATCCCAAAATGTGTCTCAAATGTTCGGTGTCATGTCCACGTGTTCAAACGGCTTTATCCTCATTGTGTGTTAATGACTTTCATAAAAACTCGTAACGTGAGCGAGTTTCACGAGGAGTTTGAAGCTATTTACCGACATTTTACAACACAACAAAATATACTTGAAGTTTCATTATGCTATGTGATAAAACAATTTCTTGTGTTGTAGAATTGATGAGCCTTTATGTATAAAAAGGTGAAGTAAATTATTTCCATCCGATGCTTTGGTTTCCCAATATACCTATAGCATTTTGGGTGAAAGTTATTTTCTGTGCTGCAGCAATGCTTATAAATTATTTTTGTTTGGTTAGTTAAACCATTTTGGACAAGGTTAAGAGCCTTAGTTTAGCACAGAGGGAAGTCCTGAGGAAACTGCTAGCATATGGCTCTGTCAAAGATTAAATCCACCAGCAGCTCCAAAGTTCAAGGAGTTTGTTTGATTCATACAGAAAACTTGTCCAGAGAAAGTCCAAAGGATTGTCTGTGCCAGACATTTCCTTGGCATCAACCAATAACTTTGTGGTATCTTCGCTGTTTGCCTAAACTGCTTAGAGCACGAAACAATCATTTTTTGAGATTAGATTTTTTCCAAAGGTGAGCTTTAGCCAGGGTGTTTCTTCTGTTTTCAGTCTTTATGCTAAGCTAAGCTAACCGTCTATCGGATTCATATTTAACAGAACAACGTGAAAGTGATTTATTTTAATGCAAATCAGAAGGCAAATATCTTCCAACAGCACCATAAACATCACTGCGTAGTCCTACGTGTCGTATCCATAGCTTCTGAAAGGCCCTCTGCACTTTTGCATCTGTTTCATGAGAATATGCAGGATCACAGACACCACATGGTATGTTATCAGACGATGCATATTCTGCCTTTCTTCTGATCCCGGGACAGCGCCGGATCATTTTGATGAGAATGAAAAAGCAGCCTGTGGTCAATCCATACTGGTTAATTGAGGCATTTAGGATAGAAAGGGACTTAAAAGCCCCAGCCCTCCTTGACACTGATGGCTGTCCTAGAAGGGACCCTTGGTGGGGCCTCGGGTCCTTTGATAGGTTTTTCGCCATCGTCCTTTGGGGCTGTTTCACCCCCCGACAATAAACAGGCAGCTCTTTGTCAATGGGAGCAGGGGGGGGTCTGAAGGGTTGCTACTCGTTATTATTTTCTAAAGTAATTATACCTTATTATCTGTGTTTACGTTAGCGGGGGTGCTAGCGTGCAGGTGTGGGCCATTCGGCGGTGGGTTGGCAGTCTCACTGGTGAACGCACCCCGAGTGTCTTTTAAAAAATAAAAAAAATTTAAACTCTATCCCCTCCATCTTTACTTGAACGTTTTGGGGGATTTTAGGCTAGCATTGTAGCCCCGTCGGTAATTTCAGCCCAACAAAAGAAACGTGCAATTAGGGCCATTATAGGAGCAGCTGCATGCTTCCTGGCTGTGCAGAGACAGCAACGTCTTCTCCCCGGCTCAGTGGTGGAGGGATGAGAGAGGCAAGAAGTGGAGAGAGCAGGGCCTGCAGCAGCGGGGAGAGAGAGTTTGAATGGTCACAGTAGCTTCCAGTCTGCAGGAAGGAGAGGGAAATATAGCCTGGGAGGCTGGTGCCTTTTCCTCGGCGAGGACACAGCAGGGACTCTCGCCCACAGGCTCGTGGGCCCCCGAGAACAATGGATCTGCCATCTCCCGACGCGAAGTGTTATGAAATAGTCTTCGCCACAGTTCCATCGGCCGCGCTCTCGAACGGAGTCATGTGGTCTCGGAGCTGCGTGGGCCGAGGGGAAATGATTCGCGAATAAGAAAACGCTTTGTGAGGAATCTAGTCTTCCATAAAGGAAAGTATCAGGTTACAGATTTTGAAGCAGCCGTAGTTCCCCAATCCAGTGAATTGGTTGCTAGTATTCTTACATGAAATGGATTTCTTTATGGAGATCGAAGGCTGCCAACCACTAACACGTGGACAGCCCTTTCAAAAAGTTCCATTGTATTAAAGATATACAATAAAACCTTTCAATGTGTTCAAGGTATTCATCCATCAGATTGTTATTCAGGCTTCGGTAAGTCAATCAATACGAGCCATGTGGGCCTTCTCGTACGTGTCATGGGGAATCATGTGGGTCACAAAGGAACAACAAAAATGCACGCACAAATTAAAGTCACGATTAAATGGGATCAAAGACGAACTAATGCGTAGACAATTAAAAAAAAAGAAGCCCGGCAGTCTGCGCAGGGTTGAATATTGCGGGGCACATCGAGGCCCTCATGGCGTCAAACACAAGGGACCAATCTTATGCTCTCAGCACAAACAAAATGGTCACAGGTCCTCCTCTGTTCCTCTCACTTACCGATTTCCTCACTTCACAGACTCCCCAGCCCTTAGAATAATCATCTGGCCCAGGGCCCTTATAGGTTCAAGGGCACGAGCAGATCTCAGTATCACCATGTATGAGTCACATCTCCTGATGAACATGTGACCTTGTTTCATTTCCCTCTGCATACTATTTTCTTTATTGACAGGTATATCAGTAGCAGCTGGAGCATTGTGTTTGAATCACTAGATGGACCCAGGGGGGCTGTGATATGCAGTTAATTGGGATAACTAGGGGTAAACAGGGAGTTTGCATTTTCCCAGAAGAGAAGGAGAGACTGTCAGCTGCTCGTCAATGTGTTTTCAAGATTTAGACACAACCATAGATACCTGATTTCCACTTCCAACGTCGCCAGTCTTCGGCACCAAAATCTGTGCATAACGCCGAAGTGCAGAATGAATAGTTCTAAATACAAGCAGAGGACGGACAGCACGTCCTGTGGGTGAATTATGGAGGAAACTTGGCGTTTCCTCTACGGTGGAAAAAGGATTATAAACAGGGCCAAACTGAATGAAAACATTTAAAAAAAGAAACTGATGAAGAGTTTGCTGGTTTGAAGATGTCCAAACTGGTCTCATCACTTGTGGTCTTGTACTCTTTTGAAGGAGAATGCAATTTGATGCACAGAAGCAGAGCTTAGCTTAATTCACTACATTGTATACTGGAAGAGGAAGGCTAGACTTTTCTTAGGGAATCAGTTGACGATAAAACAATCGGTTTCATTTAGTCGGTTTGTTTTGTTCCGTTATTTTTCCAAAATGAAGTTGCTACTATCAAGTTTAAAGTCCCACAGTCAATGGCCTTATGTTGTTGGATGATTCATTGGGACGTGACTATAGACAGACATTACTTGATCACATGGGGGTTCTCTTTAGTGGATGAACATTAATGTAATGTCAGCACAATATTGTCGCACTAAATGTTTAGAAAAAAGATTAAGCATTATTCTCAGTGATAGCTAGATAAATTAGTTACATATCAATTGCAAACAAACACCAAACAATTCATAAACATAGTACTTGAGTTAGCTTATTCTCTACTTCCAGAGGGTGATGAAAGCTGATCTTTGCAGACTTGGTCTTACTGGCATCCATTTCACCTCATTAGGACCCTGGGACTGAGAGTCGACAAAACACGGAGAGAAATCATTTTGCCGGGGGAGTGTGGCGGGGATAAATTGGCCTCTGGTTCAGTACGAGAGTCCCTGCTGTGCGAAGCGGAAGAGACGGGCCTGGCTGGCAGTAGGGGCAGGCCCGGGCAAGGCAAGCTGGGAGGCCCCATGCTGAGACCCCCTCCCTACCCCTGACAAACACGGCAGTGGATAATCTCTCCTTCAGGGACTCGGCCCAGCGCTGTGGGGCTGAGAAGGAAGGGAGGGCTGTTATACAGCACAGGGCAGAGGAACTGCCTCTGTATGTGTGCAGCATACACCACAAGCACACACACACAAAATGATCACGTATATCTTGGATAAATTATGTTGAGCGCACTTGAACTCGAATAATATCATGCAAAATTCATGTAGACCAAAATAAATCCACCGTGTGTCAGAGGGCAAGAACAAGCCTCCCATTACAGGTAGATGGTGCAGTCTTGGTACGTGTGCTTCTGCAGAGATCAACAGCTCTTACAAACCCTGGAATATGTAGATATTTTAGCCAAAACCTCGGTCATCGTCATCCATACAGAAACAAATAACTGCAAAGTTGCATTTAGTTTAAGGAAGGAATAAGCATGTGGGATAAATGTCAGGTAATGATCATTTTGGCATCAGCGTAACGTTTCCATTGCCGCATTAACTGGAGGTATGAGAGCAAATATGAATTATTTACCAATATAACTTTCAATGTTTCTGTGATTACTTTGATTATTTCAATTCCAACCAGCTCACGACTAGTCTGCAGGTCCAAAGTAATATTCTAAGTAAATTAAACTCTACTAAAAGCAGTACAGTCCGTAAGCAAAACACTCAAAGAAACAGTTTTCTCCAAACATTTTACTTCAATCAATATTTCTTACAAAAAAACAACAACAACCAAACAACATCCTCAGTAAGTTTGCGGTGGCGTGTGGTCAACCAGTAATATTCAAATATAAATGTCCATATCGAATGTCATCGAATACCGAAAGGCCTTGTTAGCCGCTAGGACGTCTCCATCTTGTAACCATGTTTTTCCAGCTCGGCTCTACAGGAAGAAGGAAAATAGAAAGATCAAGTCAGTGGAGATGATTACAGGTGGGAGGTAGCGGCATAAGTACCCTGCGCTATTGATTGCGAGAACCATTAAGAGATGGGAGTGAAAAATATATAAAATATTACATAATGTGTGCAGCTATGGATTTGATGATTACACATATATGGAAATGTGGCACCTGTGCCCTTTAACAATAATGATATCTTTAAGAAACAACTTAATAACATGGCCATCATAATTGGTCCAAATAAAACAATAGCATATCGCAGTGTAAAGTGTACTCAAATAAAACAACAGCCACTTATTTATCATCAGTTATTGGTTATCCAATAAAATAGGGCTGCAAGTATGACTGATCTCATGATAACTTTGATGTTTTGTGCAAGGTGTTTTCCGGGGTGTCGGACAGTTAAAAAACAAATCATTAAAAGAGAAGCTGCAGGACGGCTATTTGTTTGCTTAAAACTATGTCACATTAAATGACATATTTTGGAAAAAAACAGTAAGTTAATGGCTCATATGCGCAACTGTGTAGATGATGCCTGCTGAACAAATCATTTCAGGCAACAAATCCTTTTTTATGACTTGCAAAACGAACAGCGGTTTTACGTCTTTAACTCTTATGCGTGGAAGAAATACAAGAGCCATCCATATCCAAAACCCTAATTTTAAAGCTGTCAATACAACAACTTTGAAAAAACACAGGCTTGTCTGGTTAAATCTGTCCCAGAAATCATCTGGAACTGGTCCGGTCACAATGTCGAATTCTATTTAAACCAATTAGGAGCATTTGATTTCTTATAAACTGCAAAAGAGTGTGGGAATATTGGGGTTAATTACTTATACTTAAATAGTTTAGTAAGCTATTACGAGACAAAATTTATCCTTGGTTTTACGGAGGTATTTGACAGTGATTATAAAATCAATCAAATAAAAAAACAGCCAACACACAACATGAAAGGAGCCACTCCATCCCTTAAGTGCAGGTTATCGGACAATAAGTCAGGATGTCACTAATGTTTCACATGATGGTCAGTTGCAGTTACTCTGCATCAAATAATAAAAATAGCACCGTGTCTGATGTATTGCATTTATCATGTACTTACACATTCCCATTTATGAATAAAATCCCATCTGTGCCCGGGATCTTAATCTGCTACCTGCTGTACTAGACGAGCTGAACATTATGTATGTTGCAGAGTGTAAAGATTACCTCAGTTGATTGGAAAAATCGTCCTCTACGTTGTCATCATCCCAGTTGTCCTCCCAAACATGAGCGTCTTCATCTTCATCCAGCCCCGTCCAGTCTAGGATTCACACAAGAGGGATGTCAACACGATTAGAAACTGTAATAAAAAGTACGGTTATCAAAACGTCGTATTGGAATCATAGGAAACGTTCAAACATGCCATTAATAGGAGTTATTGACCGTCATCGTCCACTTGGCTACGGTTCAACCCTACCGTAACGTTGGTTAGCTTGTCGGCTAGCGTTAATGATAGCACGGGAGCCGAGGTATACGCGCTAGCGAAATAATGAATATGTAGGCGAACTGTAAAAGTATAAATTCACAATATGTGACAGCAGAAGACAACGAGTGCCACCCGTTGACCGATTCCGTAAGGTTGGTTAAGGTTAAATCGCCAGGCTGTGGCGTGTTACCAGAAAATGAGTAAACTGGTGGCTAACGCTAAAAAATAGCATGGCTAGCTTAGCTGAGTCACTGCTGCAGGGCCCAGCACCATCAAAACAGAGAATACCGATGGGGAGTAAGAAAATCAAATACTCGTAGACTTAAAAACATTATCTGTAGCATTTACCCTCAGCTGGGAATTCTTCGAACTCATCATCCTCCTCCAGTAAGCCCAGGTCCACTGTCTGTTTCTTGTCTGACATGTTAGCAGTGCTGGCGCTGTGTTGCTATTCGTAAATGAACGGCTTTCTACCGCAGGACCTTTAGGAGGACGAGGCTGTTCGAGCGGATACAGATTGCGTCGACTGCGCAGAAAAAACGCAGCATTTAGCGAGGCATTTTTTCTCTCTCGCACGCAGCACATTTGATATAAAGTAAACTAAAAGTGCTTTGCATTAATATGCACGTGCTGTCACTCAGATAGGGTATTACATCACACCACGCCAATACAGAATATACACAGACACTCATTTAACAATATTCCATATAGTATATTAGTTGTGGAAATCCATTTTTTATTGTATCATAAAATACAATAACTAATCATAAGCATGATAAACCAGAGGAGGGAATAATAGAATATCAACAAGTGTTTTTTCTAAGCCAGTTGAGTCAATGGGGTCTGCAGCAAATATAAAATAAAAAAGGTACTTTAATTACTGTGAAACGTATTAATATATATATATATATATATATATTTTTTTTTTGTTCTTGTTGTAAATTTGTCACTGGAATTTTACAGACCTAATCTTAAACTGATATTATTTAGGACTTTGGCAGATGAACATAAACACTTTTTCTCTCCTACACCACCACAAAAGGCTTGTGCAGTTCTGTCAGTCAAACTTCAGCAAAGATTTTTCATTTAGGAACAAATGCACATTGTAACCCATGTGGCTTGCTCAAATAATGAAGCGGCAGCCAGAGCTAAGGATGTATTTTAGATAAATGAGAGCGTGCATTTCCCACAAAACCACTTTCACCGCAATGAAAATTGCTCTGCAGCTGTCATATGTTGACAGATAGAGCAAACCTCAACTTAGTCTCTACGTACTTATTCTATTTTCAAATTATTTTGTAATCATCCTAAGCCTTTACATATGACAATCAACCACAACATTCAGGGGGAAGAGGAAGAAGACATGGAGAGAAAGTGCAGTAAGCAAATGCCATTGTGTTTAAATAGCTCCATTGTTATGGAGTACATAGAAATGCACGCTTGGAGGTACAGGAATTAGGAATTACAGACCAAAAACAAGATCAAATCTTCAAGGAATTTTGTAATATTTCTATGAATGGAAAGGAAAAAAGTTTGCTTGGGATATTTTTCAGGCTGCACCTAAAGGTTATTTTTTTATCAAAAATTAATCTGCAGATAACCTCAAATAACTGGACAATTTTTGGTCCGAACCTAGATTAATATTGAATATATTTTGATGTCTTGTGTTGTCCTACCGACAGTTCAAAGCCTAAACATATTTAGTTTACACGAGACAAAGAAATCTTTACAACTGAGAAGATGGCAAAAACACATATTTCCATTTGTGCTTGTAAAATAATGAATGAATTAACTATGTAAATAGCCGCAATATATAGAATACCCATTACAGTATAGCTATTATAGATTAGATGCTGGACTAATCATATTTCCGAAAACATAATAACTTGTCATTCCTTTTTAAAGAGACCCTAAGATTGAAACGATGTGTGCAATGAAATGTAATAAGTGTGTCATTTCATTTACATCTTGTAAAGACAGTTGTAAGAACTTTGTTCATGAACGATAGCCTTTCTTGCTCCGAGCTGCCCTATCTAGCGGACTCTGACGCCTGTGTCACTCAGTCTCAGGTGCAGGGGAAGCCCCGGGAAGGGGCTGCAGCGTCCGTCGAGCATACCTGAGACTGCAGTTACACGGCGCCTGGCGCCTAGAGTCTCTCCATAGGGGGGGCAGAGGGGCCAGGAAGGCAGATACAACATGGCTACCGCAGACAGACTCCGCTGCAACCTGTGTCTGGGTATCAGCATCACATTTCTGTCCTTTCACAAAGCCCTCTGGGAAAGGACAGGCCGACAGCCGCCATAAGTAAACTGAAAGAGACAGACGGGGCAGACAGAGGAAGACTCCGGCTGAAGCCTGCCCACCAGTCTGACAGTCTGCGCCCCCCCCGACCCCCAACCACTCCTTATCACAGCCCCCCGCCGATGATAAGGCCTTGAGGCAGGGAACAGTGAGAGGTGGATGGTTTTTAAACGGGTGGACTTTTGAGAGAGACGACAGAAGGGGCGTGCCGGCGAATAATCCAGATCACCTCCCAGAGATAGGAGACCGGACCTCTTCTGCCACATGTCAGAGAACGTGACAGGCGCACAGGAAGACGGCCTGCTGGCTGCTAACTTGTCGAGCCGTGTCCTCGCTGTACCTGCAGACGCTTTGTTTGGACGTCTCCCCATAACAGTCACACTTTGCATTGTCTCTTTCTCTGCCTCAAAACAGAAGCTTCCTCTAATGCCACTCAAAACCGAGCGGGCGCAATTGTTTCTTTGTGTTTGAGCTGTATTTCCTTGTGAAGGCTGTAAAGTATTAAAAGAAGAAAGTAGTGGGATTTTTAAACTTGAAGAAATGCCCTAAAACATACAAGAAAGTGATCATTGTGGATTAGGGGTAGTTAACCCGCCAATTAATGAGGCAAATCCCCCCCAAAACATGTAAGCTTTGCTTCAAGGAAATCTGCAGAGAGAGTGATATGCATTCAGGATATGTCTGTCAAGATCCTAGATTAAATTTAATCCCAGCCAGTCAGTGAGTCTACTCCATTGTGTGTTGTGTGGAAACCCGGTTTCTGTTTTCAGAAAAAAACTTCCATTGAGTTCGGAACAGTGGATATTGATTATTTCAAACTTTCAATCAGTCAATTAAAAAAGCAATAGGTGTCAAATAAACACATAAAAAAGAAAGTATCTATTTTAGGTTGTCTTGCTCTACAGGGTCTTTATTTCTGGGGGTCTTGTTCACAGAGACGTCTGTCATGACGAATTTAAGTTTCATATTTTCCCCCCCTGTCCGCCTTGAAAAGCTCTGTCATCTTGGGCTTGAGGTACAGTTTGCCAAGAGTCTAATGGCCCTTTATGACAGTACAATCTGATGCCTGTCCCCGCTCGCCTCCAGGTAATCCTGTCCACCTCGGCGGCTTAGCCCTGCTCGGGCTTAAGTTGCATATTTTGTTTTTATCAGGACACTGCTGATAAATGCTATCAGCGAGGGAGAAATGAAATATGGGGGGTCTAACTCCATTTTGCCTGAGCCCCTGGTTGAAATCTGGAGTTCAGGAACAATGACACCTCTATTAGTGGAGCTAGACTGTCGATACGGTTGGAATAGACACCCTATGACTCATAATATTCACAATAGTCATTTGCTGATAATGTTTAATATTTTTTACCAAACACTCAGGTGATACAAATTCCACTCAACGCATTTCAGATTTAAAATGAATTTGGAAAAATGCATCATAATACTGCCGCTTAACACACTCAATTACAATTACAACAGTTTTCAGACCTCCAAAATATTTTTTAATAAAATCACAAAATGATAATTCGCAGTAATGTGCGTTTACAGTGCACTACCTCTGTGTCCATAGTCCAGTGCAATGGACCTATATTGTATGTGAAAAGCACTCACACACTCTTAACATAGGTGATACCCCCTCTGTGAAAAGCACTCTTATTGGAAGTACCCATTATCTCCAAAGTCTATCTTCATGCTGACACCAAGTCATTAGCTTAAGCTGTCCTCTGTGTAAAATCATTGTTAATTTCTTTGCCAATGGTGCATGGTGAATTGACGCGTATTTTCATTGACGGCTACAGATAAATGACAGTTAAATTAAATGGTGGAATGGTATGATCTAAAATATAAACCTGTACATACATACTAGAGATATTTAAATTACTTTGAATGACTGTTTTAGAATTCCAGATTCTAAATAAGATAAATGGGACAGCAATATAATTAGAATTTTCTTAATTTCGGACAAGAAGGTAAAAATATTCATATTCTTTCAATTCAAAAGCTAACTTGGGCTTGAAGTGCATCTTTTGTGCTGTGACGTGTCCCAAGTTCGGGACCACAAAGGGGCTTTGTGAAAGATGACACATGTCACATGTCACTGGAGAAATGTCGGCTACCTGGATTTCTGACCTTTTTGTTTGGAAAAGCCCCTAGCTTTCTCCTAATTTGCCTTATCCAGACGTTTGCTTTATATTTTCATCATTACATATTGTTCGCTGCCTTTGTGTCTGTCTCTTTTCTCTGTTTTTCTCCATTTTCGCTCTCACCAATCAATTTCTACTTTCTCTATCTAGCAAACACAGACACGGAAACACCTCCCTCTCCTTCTAGGGGTGGCGGGCGGTCAGGGCCAGCAAAGCCTTCTCTGCGGGCACACAATCACGTCAGCGCGTCCTCTGATTGGATACACGCTAGCGAGAGGCAGATCTATGCAGAGCGAGCCAACTGAACCCCATGACCCCGATTTCCCTGCAACCTGGACAATCTCATTTGTTCGATTTGATGAAGATATCCTCAGCAAAAGCTAAACATTTTGAGAAGAGTTTCGGCTGAGCTGGACGCTAGCGAGCGACCGTCACAGGCACAGAGGTGGATTCATTCAGGTAGAACTGTGCACGACATCACTGGTGGCCTATACGTGTGAAATACGCATCCCGCCACTGCCTTTTAGTAAAAGTCATGGTACATGAAGTGTGCATGCCGCACACAGCGGGGACGGGGGGGTCAGGGTTGACACCTGCCAGGGCCTCATCTGTCATCTGTGTGCACAGATGTAAATGAGCAGGAGTGACACAACATGCCAGAGGTGACGTTGACGGATAACTCCGTCAGCCTCTACCATGGCTCACGGTTGGTCTGTTGGCTGGGTAACAATAATCATCTACTCCGAAGCTTTCAGATCGACTTCATTTCCATTCCAGTGATGTCACACTAACTTTGAAACATGGGTTTTGATGCTGTGTTTTGATATGAGGCGGGAGTAACGTGCACGGTCAGTGTCCCCCTGCAAACGTTTGATCTTGTTAAAGTACAAATAATTTTGGAATTAGTTCTACATACATACATCCGTCTACATACAATCTTTCCCAATGATTCATGCCAAATTGTGTTACAGGTCTGGAATAACCAGTGTCTTTTGGTGGCCAATGTTAGCAGACTTAGGATAGTGTGCTATACTGTGCTATACGCGGCCAGTTTGCAGACTTTATGCTAC